ATGACATACCTGTGATGGTATGGAGATGTTTAGAAGAGAGGACAGGGATTGATAAGATGTTTTACACCATCCTGGAGAGTGAGAGAATGTAATGCAGAAGATTTGTACTTGTACTGAGTGTGAAGAACAAGGGTGAGCTGTAATAATTCAATTGAATTCAGTTTTATTTATATAGAGCTAAATCATAACAACAGTCATGTCAAGCACTTCATAATAACTAATTAACTAAAGGAAATGCGGAGTGAGCTATAAACATATAGTGACTGAAAAGGGTTGTTAAAGAAGAAACACTCATAGGGAACCACAGCAGTCTAGGACTATTACAGCATTATTAAGGGATATGTTTTTTTTTTTTGTTTTTTTTTAAAGGGAAGGTTTTAAGCCTAATCTTTGAAGTAGAGAGGTTTTCTGTTCCCCAAATCCAAACTGTGAAGAGAGATCTGAAAGCTGAAGGCTCTGCCTCCCATTCCACTTTAAAATATAGGAACCACAAGTAAGCCAGCAGTCTGAGAGCAAAGTTCTCTATGAGGTCTCTAAGATAAGATGGGCCTGATTAATCAAATATGTCAGAATAAGGACTTGCTCTTTAAAGATTTTGTGCAAATGCAAACAAGCAGTTTTACATATTTGTTTAATATGGACACTGAATAACAGATTCTGGTCTAAAATGGGAAAAATGTCTTTTCACTAAGGTCATCCAGGTCTTTATGTCTTCAACATAACTAATTGGTGTACGTTATCAGGCTTCATTGATAGATAGAGCTGTTTATCATCTGCATAGGAATGAAAATGCATGGTATGGGAAGCAGGCATAATGTAAACAGAATTGGTCCTCGCACAGAACCCTGTGGAACTCCATAATTAACATTAGTGTGTAACGAGAACTTTACATTTACATGAACAAATTGGAGTCTATTAGATAGTTAAGATTCAAAGGGTAGTGCAGTATCTTTAATTCCTACAACATTAAAGATACTGCACTATACTGCATCATAATATTTCATGTGCAATGAAATATTATGGTAAATAGTACTGAGCCATGCACTGAGATCTAGCAGGACAAGAGGGCATAAGAAGTACAATTTGCAACCTTTAATGCAATGTTTGCATTAAGAGTGTTGATGGAGAAGTAGAGAAAAGGTCAGAATCAGTGTGCATTTTGTGGATCTAGATAAAGCATATGACAGGGGGCCAAGACAGGAACTGTGATATTGCATGAGGTAGTCCGGAGTGACAGAGAAGAACTATGTGAGGGTGGTGCAGGACACGCATGAGGTTACATCAAAGATCTGCTTCGGTTCCAGTTTGCAGTGATGATGGACAAATGGAGGGAAAGCAGGAGTCTCTGTGGACTATGGTGTTTGCAGATGACTTTGTCATCTGTATTGAGAATAGGAAGCAGCTGGAGGAAATCCTGGATAGGTGGAGGTATGCTCTAGAGAAAAGTGGAAAAAGTAGAAGTAGAAGCAAGACAGAATATATGTGTGTGAACGAGAAGGAGACGATGAAGAAGGCAGTGAAGGTAGATGAGTTTAAATAACTGGGGTCAATCATCTAAAGCAATGGAGGATGCAGAAGAGAGGTGTAGAAGTGAGTGCAGACAGGGTGGAGACTACTGTCAAGCATAATTTGTGACAGACAGATAGCAGCAACAGTGAAAAGGAAGGTTTTTATAAGATAATAGTGAGACCTGCTATAATGTAGGATTTGAAAATGGTGGGCAAGCTTAAAAGCGTGACTCTTCAAGTATTTTGCCAGGGTATGGATATCAAAAACAAAACTGCATTTAAAACTTTTAATCCAACTTCAGTGAAAGTCAGGACTAAACTAGCCTCGGAAATGTCGATCTATTATTCCAAGTCAGTGTTTGCGGAACTATTCCTTCATAAAAGTCTTTACCTGTGTTGTTTACATGAGGTTAACACAGTTAAATTGTTAAAGTAGGCCATTCATTGTCCAACTGGGCGTGTGTGTATGGTTTTCTTCCGTCCTGTGACTTCACACTACATTACCTGAATGAGAGGGCTTCCACCTGACTTCCAGCCCAATAATAAACAACCTGAAGCCTCGCACACGCTGAGCTCCGGTGCAGAAACGGTTAACCAAAAGATGCAAGAACTGCGTGAGTCTGTCTGAGCATGTGCTGCTGGTGCCGCTGCTGCTGCAGTGAAGTAAAATGTGTCAATTTTCATCGGACAGTAGAGACACCGTGGAGGAGAAGCCGGGGACAGCAGATGAGCGGTTGGAAGCGGACACCGAGTCAACCAGGACAATCTCGCCGGGGGAGATGCATTTGATCGTCCGGCTTGTGTGCTGAGGGACACCGCAGAGCTCAGCCGAAAGGTAAACGAAATGCACAGACGATGATTCACGTCGGTGTGCTGGAGCTCAGCGACATGTAGCCAACATGTTAGGATTTAGGAGGAATAGCCATGATCAAAACAAGTATTCGTGAGGCTCCACAGTTATTATTTTGCAGGTTTTCGTGATGTATCCAACCGTGGGAATTTCACCCGCTTGTTACTAATGAGTGTTTCCTTGCAAGTTGATAGTTGTGCAGCCGCGTTTCTGTTAACCGTGCCGCAAATTTAGTACACCGAGGCTGGAAAAAACAGCTGGACATCCTGTGTCGAAACTGGTCGAACCGGTCATCACTTAACATGTTTTGCGCACAGTTAGGCTGTTGCACCTGTTAAAATAAGATATGTAAGCGTACATGAGCGCATTATAAAAGCAGCCTGCGCGTATAAGTGTGTCTTTTTCATTACGCTTAGGCTTTGTCAGAGGAAAGCAAGTGTTTTCAAACCTTCTCTGTTTTGAATCTGGCCTTTTTAATTATTATTTGTCAAGGATAACCATACCGCACTGCTCAGTAGGAAGGAGGCGTGATGCTGCAGCGAGTCTCGGCAGCCGGGCCTGCGCAGTGGCCCGTAGTTTTCCAGGGACAGGATAAGATGACTTTGGACATCTAATTACAAGTAGACAAGCGATTTTTTTCTGTCATGACTTCTCTTCTGGATCATGGTCACACTGTAGGATGTGTTTTTACAGAAACACGGTGCCATATGGGGTTTGGATTTTCAAAATCCCTCATTGATTTATTCCATGTAAGGCCTGCAGTTCACTATCATTTGGGGTGAGATAATCCCTGCTGCTGCTGCTGCCTCTGTAGCCTATATTCCGCCTCAGCCTTTTGCACTGACTCTATTGACATTTTGGACCTATTTATAAGCCATTCACTAGATTTCACAGTGAGGATTCCCCCAAATGACCCGTTAATAGAAATGCAAATGCTTGAAAAAACTGCATTTATCAGCGTGTGGGCATCTAAATTAACGTAGCTGTACAAATGGACCTGTTACCTGTCTTCATACACATATGTGAATTGCTAACCTCTTGACTTATCAGGCTTTTTAAGACACGAAGGAAACTTCACAGCCCCACATTTTTTAAAGACAATAAAAAAAGTGAATTTCAGTCAACACCAGCACAACAGTGTCAGCCTTTTTGTTGTTGTTGTCATTTTCACCACACAGTAAAGTTCATTTAACCTAGTTTCACTTTATATTTTTTCCACTGGTCATCCACGAAGCAGGATGGATCCATGCTTTCGTGTTGTTTCCGTGAATCCTGAGCCTACCATGTAAATGTCTTAGCAGAAATGAACACTCATCAGACCAGGCAGCAGTTTCCAGCCTTCTGTTGTCCAGTTTTGGTGAGCCTGTGCAAACTTTAGCCTTCGTTTAATGTTCTTAGCTGGCCAAAGTGGCCGCTGGTGTGATCTTCTGCTACAGGGGTTATTTGAGAACTGCTGTTCACTGGATATTTTCTCTTTTTCCTACAACTGTCACTGTAAACCCCAGAGATGGTTGCGCAGAAAAATAGACGAACCGTTTCTGAAATACTGGCATCAACAACCATGTTCAAAATCACCTTTCTTCCCCATTCTGATACTCACTTTGAACTTCAAAAGATCATCTTGACCATGTCTACTTCCATTGTTGCTGTCGTGTGATGGCTGATTGGATATTTGTGTTTAGGAACGGTTGAACAGATATACCTAATGATGTGGCCGGTAAGTGTAAGTTTATATTTTTAGGGTTGCGTTAAAAGTCTTCAATTAGTTAAAAGCAATCACCATTGAGCAAGAGAACTGAAGATATCGATCGCAAATTACATCCACGTAGAGGCATCTATAATACATGCACAAAAGAGGAGCAAGGCATTCTGTATTTGCACTTATGCACTTTGGTATATGCTGGTGAAAAACGTGCGTTTCCATTAAGTTGTCTTTGTGTTCTGGACTAAGCACATTAGTGTCATGTTTATCATTATTGGATACATCTTGATTTATGGAGTTTATGGTTTAAAAAAACCCAAGTATTAAACTCTGATCAGAGCGGGTGCCAGTCCAGCACTCAGCTTCTTTTGTTTTTCAAAGATCTCTTCCCTTCTAAAACCTGTGCACCGAGACCAATCTCAATTATGCGCTGTCAAAGATTGATTACGAAGCTGTCTGATAGAAGATTAACATGCGTCTGCACCCCTCCATTAGAGACATTACTCTCCATTGCAGCATGATGCAGTAAATCTCCTGCTTTCTTTACAGCTGCTCCACGATTTCTAATCTATGGTCCATGACCCCTATGCTACCCTGGATAGAGGGCTTAGCTCCAATATCTTAGGGCCTCTCACTAAATTGCAAAAAGCTCAAGAGCTGGAATGAGTGTGATTGGAGGAAGGTTGTGAAAACAATATGAGAGTATTTTGGGGATTGTGAAGGGTGATTCATAAGATATTTATTGGGTAATAAGGAACGATGATAAACTGACATATAGGCTGGCAGAGAAGAAGTATGACAGAAGGACATGCAGTTTAACTATACAAAAAGCAACCCAGTGCATTTCCATCCTCCGGGATACCCGAACACACTTATCTTTAGACATCATTCTCCGTAATGTTATTCCTACCAGCAGCGCAGAGTACGCTTCCTCTGCACTGCGCGTTGATTGCCAGATAACTTTGGAAATCCCACGTCACCGCATGAGCTGAGAAAGCAGTAAAGAGTTGAAGTCACTCCTCTTGTCAGGCTCTCCTGTTTCATTCATGACGCTCCTCAGCTATTTCTGTCACTTTCCAGGAGTACAACTGAATGAAACACTGCAAGTGCTTTTACAGGAGAGTCTGCACTCTGTGTTCCCGTTTTATGTGTGGCCATTCAGAATAACTGTGAGCTTATATAATCGAGAACTAACTGTCAATTTAATGAATTTCAGGGACTATAACTTAAAGAGGCGACCCTGGAGACATATCTAAACACTGCAGCAACCAAACATCCTCATATAGAAAAAAACACCTTTTCTTCTTTAAAAAAAGTTTTCTATCAACAAATCTGAGTAATACCTGATTTGTGTAATAAAGTCTTCATCGCAGTCATCATCAGGTCATTGAGAGGTAATCAGGTATATTTGTTTCTATCAGTGAGAATGAACCCTTCAGCGTTCATGCCACTCGGTTTATTGAGTGCACTCCTCCCCCACCGCTCTGTTTGTTTTGTTCAGGCTTTCACCTTGCAGATATAGAAAGAATGCCTACTATAAAGTTATATGAGCCTCCGTTGGCACTGCTGTGTCCAGGCTTTTAGTCCTCGTGGCGTCTCTCCCGCTCTATCAGCATCTCGGATACTTTACGTGCCCCCGGGGAATCTCTGGAATTAGGGGGATGCTGTGAAGGAAGGAGGGAGAAGTGTGTCTTTGTCTTTAGCATCGAGGTATCATTGTCTCCTAATTCTATCTGTTTTCATTTGTTTCTAATATATATCATGGATAGTGTGAAATCCAGAGACTGGAATAAAATGTTTTGCCAAAGATAGCGCTAACTTAAAGGTGACATCCATCAGTATACCTCCTCTAACCAAAGCACCAAGGTTGTGTTGATAGTGGAAAGGGTTAGTTTATCAACAGTTTTCAGACCAAAATACAAACATTCCCCTATCGCAGATTCTAATGAAAATTTCCTGCCTTATACATAAAACAAATGGAGAAGCAAGTATGACCGTCTCATAAGGATTCTTAGAATAACGATCTTCTGTCGTCTGTTTATATATACAGTTTACGTCAGTGGTGTACAGTGAAGAATAAAGAACAACAAGGTTTCATGATATTCCTAATAAAGGTTGGTAAAATAGCCTCAGAATTA